AAAGACGGAAATAACAGAGAACATGGAGGAGCGCACACAGGCTGAATGCAGAGTTAGGTTTCAGCCGGTGCAAGCGGATTAGCAGCTGTATGCGGATGCTGACCCCGGCCAACACGCCGCGGTTCCAGGCGCAGTGACGAGCCCGGATCCGGTCACTGTGTCTCACCCGCCGGGTGCCGGTCCTCTACCTCCGGGCTGCCGCACGGCGATGACGTCATCGCCCAGGTATACACCACCGGCCCGAATTTGCGCGCCCTGGGCGCACGTGTGCAAAATATAAAGCAGCTACAAAATACCTTCGAACAAAAGAAAAAACAGGGGGAAATAATTGAAGCTTCGGGCTCGAATTACGCCTGGCCCGCAGTTTCGGGGGGCGAGGCAAATTTTAAACTTTAGTAAACGTGAGCCGAGAGAGAAAAGAGTCCGTGAAGGGTGAAATGTGACTTCGGTCCCGAGCTGCACACTTCAGAAAAACCTCACTCGGGTGCACCCTTACACAGTTTACCCACGTGTTCACAGTAAGTCCTACAGTTCGCTAACAGGCGGTACGCTACACATCAGATTTTATCTTAACCGTCGAGACGAGAAGTCGACCCCAACTAAAATGTATCTAAAAAATCTGCACTCGCTCTAACATACATAATTCCTGCAAATCGAGGAGTTACTCGATATTTTTTTAAAACGACGCATTTCTCGAACTAGCCCTGCGCTGCCCCCCGGGGCTCGAAGCCAGCTGGTCGGCGAATCTGCGCGCCGCTGTCGTGTAAAACGCCCTGACCGCTCGCTCTCAGACCGGCCACGTCTTAACGTGGCATCTCGGCTGCAACATCACGGGCGACTGGCGAAGCAACACGCTGCTTCCGGCCCCACCAGCCCTCGCAGCGCTTAAACTCCGTTTTGTTTAGTGTTTACAGCCTGGAACGCTGATTTGTAGCTAAGGCAAAAGATCGCAGAGATCTTTCATTTTGCTAGAATCTTCCTCTACCACTTTTTAACCGCAGTAGCAGCGCCGCTAACAATGATGATCAACTCGAGCCGAAATGATGACGCTGGCACATGGAGACAGTGTTAGGTTTTTTTAATGGGTTCTGGGAGGGTTTGCCAATTAAAAAGCGACAATGTTACTTTTTAAGAAAAAGACTGCGCCAGACGTTCTTTATAAAATAGTACGGGGTAAAACTTTTTTTTTTACTTTAAGACTTACAGGTGGGTGGTCGCTTTAAACAGAACGCGTGGCAACTGTCGGGGAAACTAAGTGATCTCTCTGACGGCCTTTAATAATGAGGCTAAAGTAGCGCCGACCCTGTCAGCAGCGCGCGGCCCCACAGCCCGCGAGCCGGGAAAGGAACGTGCCTCTGCTGGCCTCCCCGCGCTGCCCCTTCCTTTCACGCGGCGGCTTCGAACCGCGGCACTCGCGAGCTCAGCCGAGCCGCTGTACAGGATGACATTTCCATCGTCACGCGCGCCTCGTTAGCATCGCGTGGAAGCGTCTCTTTCACCCCCACCCCCCCCAAAAAAACTGGAAAAAGTCTCCACACACACACACCCCTCACAGGTTTGAGTTTCGCCCTTGCCCGCCTGCCCTGAGCAGCCGCCGTCGCGCTCTCCAGCAAAGCTTTTTACCGCTGTTAATAATTCATCGTCGATTGTTTACATCTGTACCATCTCCCGGTTTCTGTTTTTAATTATTAACCACAATTAAATGAAAGATAAATATGTATTAAAGAAGGGGGGGGGGGGAGAGAGAATCTCCAGACTTCGGATTCCTATAGAAAAAAAACGAGGCGGGGGAGAGCTGGTGGTGAAATTCTGTAGAGACACCAGAAGGTGGAAGCTAATTAAAACCGCGCTCCCCGCATTTCCCCATCGCCACCGAGACAACCCTCGGCCACATGTACACCACAGCGGCGGGGTGTGCCTCACTTGACAGGCATTCTATAGATTCAGACCAGAAAATAATGTATACTGTACATACACACACACGCCAGATACGGAATCATGATCAGGCTGTGCTGCTGTTTCTGCAAGATGCAAAGTTTTCTCCTACGTTCGCTGCAGGGTAGAAACCAGCTACAGGCTGTTAAGACTGGGGGAAAGGTGCATTCCATAGCTCTTGCACAATATGCGAAAACACATTTATGATATCATAACAAAATTGGACTGAATAGGATACAGTACACACACACACTTTATGTAAGTACACACGTGCTCTGTATATTGTGTGGTTTCTTTTGCAAATTAACTTTAAGTAATGGAAAACAAAAACGCCCGACGTCAGCTGCGTTATTTTTTCACGTTCTGATTTGTCTGGAACAATTCTAAAACATAATGGTAACATACGTTGATTAATTCCGGGAAAAATGTTGTTTTGTCTGTTTTTTTAACACCTGAAAGCGATGATAATAAAACGGAATACAAACTAAAACGGTTTAAAATGGCTCTTTTGCCGTTTGCCCGAATGTGGTCTTTCGGGTACTGGCAGACTCTGGGCTTGACGTCCCGCGGGGACCCTGTCCTGACGTGTGGGTCTCCAGTACTGCTCCATTCTGCAGTTTGCTACTAAACAAACTGACAAACAAGTTAAATTAGTAACCGTTAATTTAGGAAAGGAGCTTAACACTTCCAAAATTATACCTTGTCTTTCTAAACCAAAGCACTTATAGGCCACAAAACGATCCTCGGAGATACTCCAGTGCCGCGGTCTTTTAGTTAGACACCCTATAATGTTCTCCGCTTAAAACTACCATTTACTTAACAGCATATGTTTAGTTTTAAAACCCATCTGCAAAATTACTTGTTACGCTTTGCATGGATCCCGTCTGCCTGGGTGCAAAATAAGGTTTTGATTAATATACTAAAACAGACAATAGTGAAAGATAAATTAATAATCATTTAATGCTGACTTGCAGTAGATCTGTGAAAACACAGGTGTTTTCTTTGAGGCCTAAACAGGCATCTAATACAGAGCAAATCCTACAGGAAGCAAAGCACAATAAGCAAAGCGCTAGCATGGTTGTAAAATTAAAAAAAAAAGTGTTACTCATCTTCTGAGGCTACTTTGCACAATAAATTTAACGCGAGGGAAATGTATTTGCGAAAGCCTCATCTTCATGGTTTATTTCAATAGCACTATGCAGAACGGCGCTTGTTTGTTCAGACTTTTATCAACTAGTTTTGCAATGGGGCTAATAGATTTTCCTTTATATACAATCCGGGCACATTTGTTACCAGGCCAGAAAGTACAAAAAAAAACAGATAAAAGAAAAGTATCGGATTAAGGACAAGCCTGAGGCCGATGAAAGGGTGGTTCGCAGGGTTAATAAATCCAAAGTTGTGTTTTGAAGAAAGGAATATATAAAAACAATTTTTGAGCCGCATGTGCAAATACAACCACAAATGTGCACATCTATAAAACAAAACAGATCAGAGAAGCTTCTCAACCCCTCTTGAAAAGGCCCCAGTAAACTCGCAGCTTCTTCGTTTAAAAAGGTGCCGGGGAAAGAGAAGTGAAAAGGCGATATTAACGAAATCTCCCGCACTAGCTCGTCCCCAAAAATCTTTATGTATGCAAATCTACAAAGGCTCCTTTTATATTTGCATTTACCTTAAGGCTCTATTGGAAACCTTAATAATAATTCCATCGAATTATTAATACACTTGAAGTCAAATCTCTCGCTCCTGCCAGTTTTAAAAGGACATTACGCACTTTAGCCTGAACTAATTATTCGGGCGTCAAAAAATGCACCTTCCATTGGCCCGGCAGCTGTTGTCATAACTCATTACCAATCATTACCTCCGCTCGGGACAAGCATTTCCGCTCGTTCTGACATTAAAGACATATCAATCACAAGAGCTGACAGACAGCAACAATCCCGTGGTCTCGGCTTCGAGCTAAAAGCTCGACGTTTGCGGTCGTAACTCGAGGAAAAGGTGAAGACTGACCACCTCCTTGAACTGCTGTGTGGAGTCTAATATCTGTCTAATATCGTGGTCCCCAGGAAACACCCTCCCCAGATTCAGATACAGAAATACAGAAAGAAAGAAAGAGCCCGTCTTCATTTTCGGGTCTGCACGCGTGTCATTGAGCTCATTCACTGCCTTCGCCGATTTTTCTCTGTCACATTTTTCCTCGTTATTGTTTGTGGCCCCGAACGTGTAGCGCGATGATGAGGATGGACACAAGAAAACTCCGAGCCACCGAAGAGGAAGACGTCCAAAACGCAACACATCGTTTCGAAAGGCAGAGCCCCGTGTTTTAAATCCCAAGCCATCGGCCTGGAGTGCCTCACGGTGAACATCAGCAGCTATCGCGCTCAGTTCCTAGATAGCAGGCCGATATCGCCGCTTGAAACTGCGGCACTGACCGCGACACGTACGGTACCGCCTTCCAGATCCTGCTTACAAAAGCAGCTGAATGAAAGAAGTAGACCTTTGATAAAATTCACGTTTAATAAAAAAAAAATACAAATAATAATGAACAAGTCCTTGCTATTTATCAAGGAAAGCTGCTTTTTTTAAACAGATGAGGAAAGTCTGCCTCGAAAAATATTAATAATACAACCCCCCCGCCCCCCTCCCCATGAAACTTTATTCGTCTTTTTATTTCAATTTCCACGTCTGCCACAGAGCAATGTAGTGAACCTTACAGCGCTAAAACTTCCAGAGTCTGCACAGCCAACAGCCGGCCTCAGCGGTAACACACGCCGGAGTCCGAGCACGTCGGCGCTCCGGGGGAAACCGGAGGCGCCCCGAGGTGGACCGCCGGTGCACGAGCCCCGCACTGCACGCGCTCGGCAGCCCGGCTCCCGGATCTCGCCTCCACACACGCAGGGCCCTTCACCCTCACTTTACCCCCCGGGTTTCTGCTCTTCATCCTGCAACCGCCCCGCTGCAGACTGTTCGGAAAATAAGACCCCCAAAGTCACACTAAATCCATTTTCCAGTCTGCCCCCCCCCCCTCCTCCTCCTCTTTTTTTATATTAAATAGATTTGGGAGAAGCGCCATTTTCTCTACAAACCATGTGCAATGGAACGCATAAGAAAGCCTGTTGGAAAGATGCCATAAAAAAACTTAGTATCAGAAAGAGCTCAGGAGAAGACGCTGAGAAGTGTTTTAAAATAGCGACAGGAGCAGAGCACGTTGCGCCGTTCGGAAGCGAAGGTAAAGCGGTACAAAGAAACAATCGCAGTTATTACCTGTGTCAGGCAGTAAGGGGAATACATGTTTTAGCAGTAAAAACTGGAGAGCTTATTGAACTTGGATGGAAGTTTGCTGTGGTGCTGCATCGCTGTCTCTCGCCGTCCCCTTTACTCCATGCTGAAAACGTAACTCCGCCTTGAAGGCAGAAAATGAAAGCTACACAAAGTTTGGAAAAAACTTCTCTCTCTCTGCTCTCTCTCCCCCTCCCTCTTTTCCCAGCTACACCGAGCTGAAGGCCAACCCTTCTGCAGATTTCTGTGGCGAGAGTTCTTTTTTTTTTAAATTAAATTAAATTTGAAGAACAAGACCTGCTATTCCGGGGAAGAGAAGCAAGGGCTGGATTGTGGCAGGCGGCCGGGGCGCTTGTCTCGGCGAAAGTACCGCGGGCCGAGCTCGTCCAGCCCCTGTCTTCAGGGCAGGTCCGTGTCGCTCTCACAGAACGTCTCAGCCGCTAACAAAGGACTGAAATACCTCTGTGCACAAAGACAAGCTATAAATTCCTACTGCGGTTCAACAATAGTTCTGAAATATTCTTGGAATTTGTGGGGAATTATTTGCGCCAATATTAGTTCTTCACTTTCAGGCTACATTTGAAGTTACGGGTCTTTCCTCGCTCTCATCACTAGCTAGTTCTGTAACTGGAGCCATGCAGGCTGTGTGCGCATTATGGTGGGGATAAACTGATGACCCGAGTTAGGCGACAGACGCTGCTACAAACAGCGCGAAATTAGGATCTTCAGCAAACTCGAGGAATCGAGACAACTTAAAATCCCATGGCTAGGCGTCTCACATCCAGCGCGGTGCTGTCGGTGGCACAAAGTGACTGCAGGCCTGGTTCGGTTCCGAGACTGGGGTTCCCGTCTCACTCGGCCACGGGCACGTCCAGAACGGGGATGGTCCCGGGTCACAGGGGCTTCGGGCGTGCTGCACTCTCAGCACGTCGGCCGCCCCGGAGCGTTAATATCCTCGGAGGAATCAATCAGAGACTCTGCTGCGGTCTCCGACCGCGCTCTGGTGAACCGGGGTTAGGCCCGTCTCGCCGCAAGTAGCGATATGTACAATCGACACGTCGGCGCGGCCAGTTCAGGTTTCTTTAAATCAAATATTCAAGTTCGACAAAGGATTGTCCAAAATCTTGACGATGTAAGATAGGAAAAATAAGAATTGTTTTTGAGACAATTCAGACCGAAATTAAATAGTCCGGGTTTAATGTTTCCCTGGTCCGTTTGTCTCAGTTGTTTTGGGGTTTTTTTTGCTCGTCTGAGTGAACACCCTGTCCGTTCGTGGAAATGCGCCCAGCAGTATAGATCGATTGACAAATAGATTTATACAATATCATACTACACGTCATGCAGACATCGAAGTGCGGCTAAAGTATATTTACTTTATAAATGACACAATGTCCATTGCTTGTTAAAATCACCTTCACAGTTTCCATTTCATTCAATGATCACACATGTGCGTGTCCAACGACAACTGCTTCGAATGCCTGTATTTACTAAACACGGGACGTCGACAAAAAACATTAACGATTTTTGGGATAGCTTTTTTTTATCTTGAACATTCCCGGAAGACCCTCCGTTTAACGCGTTTTATTTGACTCCAGAACCGTAACAATTGTCTCCAGCATTGTGTGACTTATCTCCGTTTGCTTTAGCTCTGGGTCTGGTGTCGTGATCGCCTCAACAATGGATCACAGAGCGGTTCTGCACGGAATGAGACAGGGAGAAATTAAGAACCGCTCTCTGCCGTCTGTGAGGAACCCAATGCCTTGTATCGGAAACCAAGTCCTAATTTCACTGTTTTACTTGCTCTTATGAAATAAAAGGTACGAATAAAAACTGTACAACATGTACTGAATGTCTGCATTAAAATTATTTCGGTTTTTTTTATTGTGCTTGTATTCAGGATCAATCGCAGATAATGTTTACACTGCACCACGGCTAAGTGCTAAAAAGATGTTTAATTCCTTGTGACACTGCGACAACACGCGTCACATGTAATAATCCAGGCTGAGGACTCTGGTTTCAGATCTTCGAGTTCACAGGTGAGATTCTGGCACAGGTTTACACAATGTCAAGTTTGTTTTTTTCATCTTGCTCTGCAATTCCTGTTAAATGGCGGAGGGCAATGCACAGAGAAGGTGTCGTTTCTCCCTCCTCTAATTCACCTGTCAAGGGTGCTCTGCTTCTGCTGGGTGCGGCGAGTGAGGCGTGACCAGTTGTTAGATGGGTTCACATCTGGTACACAGCTGGACCTTTCTCTCCAAACCCTGCTTTTCTTTCTCAATTTTACCCTCTGTCTTTTCCGTGTCAGATTGTTTACGGCTCGCACTTCAGAGTGGCGATTTCAATTTCCCTATATCCTGCTAGTAGCTAGCCTTTACCACTGATTAATCGTGTATTTCTGAAAAACGCTCAGATCTTTCTGACATATCAATGCTTTACTGTGCAAAGGACTGGTGTCCAGGACGTAGTCCTCCCATGAGCCCTGTGTCTGCCATAGAATGAAATGTGCCTGTATAATGAATGGATTAATTCTTTATTAATACATGTCTGTGCATCAGGAGCTTGAGTCTAATGTGCATGTAGGTGACGTGTGCAATTACTTAACAAAATTATATTTTTATGCTAATTATCACAACCATAAAAACACCAGAATGTTAGCTCAATTAATCTCTGATGGGCTTTGGCGAGACTGAGAGTCACCAAACTATAGTGGGGACACAGTTCGAGCTGGTTCTGGTTATCAAATTCTGTATGAGGTCAACTGAATATTTGTTCAGCTTCTGTGAGTCTCCTGTTGTTTGCATTTCAAGTATTTGTTACTCTAAAAGTTCCATTTGCCTCACAGCAGTCTGTATCCTGCTTTTTTTAACGCACATAATTTATCATTTCTTGCTTTGTTGTGCAGAAGGAAATACAATTACAGCATGAGCACGCAGAAAGCAAAAAGCAAAAAAAAACTCTGTGTACTTGATTTAGCCAATGGGTAATTGCTATCAACAGTCCGCAGGCAAGGAAACTAATCCTTTTGCATTTGTACAATATTAAAAATCGCTTGCATACGAGAATGCACAATCCGTGCAACAATTAGGTTAGCAAAACACAACGCGTCTGTATGTTACCGCCTTAGAAAATTAATACAAAAAAGTCAATTGTCAGACATAAAATGACAGCTATATTATTTATGAATGCCATAACAATGTGATGCAATTTCTTCATTATTTTAATGACATAATGGGGTTAATAATGAGGTGGTGAGCTAGCTGCCACAGTTACACAGATCCGCAAAAAGAAGAGAACAAGGACACCTGCTATTAACAGATATCTGCCACAGCCTGTGCAATTTCCCAAGCAATTACAATGGACACTGCAGTGAAGAGGAGTCACTGAGAGAGGTAGCTGGACGGGCTACAAGATTCCGGATCACAGCTTAAAAAGGAAGGTCATCCAAGCCAGAGCGCAGAAGCCCAGGAGCTCCTTAATTAGGATGAGCAAAACGAAACAAGCCACGAAAACAACCCAACAATTCGGACCTTAATGGCACCAGCTAGTTGTCACAGTAACACAGATAACCCTGGAGGCTAATTAGCGCCAAACGTTCCACCTTTGTTAATTGAATTAATTTGAATTCAGAACCCCTCTCCCCTGACACTTAGTGTCCTGAGGAGGGGTGGGGCACTGCCTCCCACCCCCAGCGCACGTGAAGTCTCCCGAACCGAGAATGAAAGAGCTCGACCTGGGCGAGCTCTGCCTGGCCAGGGCAGGGGGATGAAGAAGACTGGGGGGGCGGGGGGGCACTCGACAGGAAAGCCCATCTGGCCCACGCATGCAAATCAACACCCAGAATGTTTGATACACAGAGCAGATAGCTTGTTCACTCAGAGACTCAGGTCTCAAGCTCAGCACTGGCCATAAGCAGATCTGTTTCGTCAGTCACTGTGGCTACCTACAATTTGTATGAAAGACCGACTAATTGAATTAATCTGGACAGGCTGAAATACACACTATACCTAAGCACACAGAGAAAGACAAAGTTCACCTTGGTGTACAATGCAGTGAAAACACCGCCGCACACTCACATTCTCCAAGACTTATCGAAGGCATTCTTGAAGCATGCCCAGGGGTGGTGAAGTCACTGCAGAATCACAGCCAACTTAGTGCTGGCATGGAGTCCTACAGATTTATGAGTTTTGGGCCCCGGACTGTACATTAGCATAAAGCATCTATATCAGATCCAGAGCTCCCCAATAGCTTGGGTACCAATGACAGCTCCCAGCCATAAAGTGAAAGAGGGTCACAGTAAAACTGCATTACCCCCCACCCACCTCCCACCCCATCCTATAGGTGAAACTGAAGCAAATTCAGAGTTGTAAAGGTAGCTCCTGCCACTTGTGATGTTTCAACTCTATACAGATATGCATGTGCCTAGTTCTGTTTATTTGCATTTGTATTAATAAAATACACAAGCAGTTACCTGGCCTCTTTACTGAGAAACTAGAATTCAAATAAAAAGGGAAGGAAGGAAATTATAGATTTATATAGAAATTTGCTGGCCCGCTCAGATGAAGCCATCTCAGAGCCACACACACTCCAGGCATTTAGTCAGACAATCTCAGCTACATGTCCTTATCTGTCACTCAGCGTTCAGACAGATCCACCTTTCCAAAAACATTAAGGCTGGCTGCAGGATTCGAACAGCAGGGCATTTACATGAACTAAAGAAAAATCGGTTAAACACTTCCCGCTGTTGAAAATGATTCAGTGAGTGCAGACATGAGCTTCTACATTGTATGGCTTTTCACCACCAACCCTTACCAGCATGTCTTCACCACCTTCAGGTGAGCTTCACTGAACAGCCCTCTACTGAGCCCCAGCTACCGACCTCTTTCACAAACACAACATGACGAGACTCAGCCCTCAATCATCTCAAGTCAGCCAAGAGGAGACTGTTCAGCCCTCCTCAGTCATCTAGTTGCTCAGTAAGTCATCAATCCTCCTCAGGCCCGCCATCGAAAGATCCCAGATTGTCAGCTCAAGACACCCACAACTCTCTGTGTAAAGAAGTACCTTGAATTTTCAATGTATTTTTTTTTCTCATAATAACAGATACATAAAACACTGACACGCTAAAATCACTATCTCTCTTATTCAGTTCATCCCTTTGCTACTGAAATATTTCCCCAAGCTTAGGGAGACAAGATCTCATCTTCAATGATCTGTTCTAATTGATCCTCTAGTTGTTTAATAGGGAAAACATATTTAGTGAGATTGATCACCTCTCCCAGTTGAGGTCAGCAGGTTTTAAAAAAATAATAATTTTAGCCCTTTAACATGAGCCAACAAGAGCACATCAAGCTCACTAAAGAGCAGACATGAAGACCGCGGTATGACCATCTACAAGCTCATCTTGGAGCAGGGTCTGGCAGAGTCACTCAGTGCAAAAGGGCTGTGAAACCAAGGGGGAACAGAAACACTAGAGGAAAACAGGACAGACAGTTCCACTGTGCTCAGTGGCGTGCTCAATTTAATATGAAAGGGCAGCTCCATATTTTCATCCTGTAGCTCATGCATCTGCGCTTTGCCAATATGTTTATTTTACTCAATTTATTTCATGCAAAAACTTCAATACTGATTTATTTGTTCAGCTGATTTTCGTACACAAGTGCACTCCTTTATCTTTCAGTCTTTAATGCTCCACACCTCGCTCAAAAAACAGAGCTTAGACCTTAAATGCACCTTACACTCCAATCCTCGGGGCTCTGTGAGTTTTTCTGGTTTGCATTCCAATTAATATTTTAATGGCCTAATTAAGCTCGTTATTTCATTAACTGGGCCTATTAAACCCCTCCCCCCAGGCTCAAGCGGGTGACTTTAAGGAGAGCAATAGAGGCTGCTGTATCCAGCAATAAACAGGCTTGATTGGCTGCTGTTCGCTGACAGTATACTGGGACCACTGACAGGAACCAGCGCTCTGCTCTCATCTTCTCTGTAGGGAAGCGTCCTGTTACAAAGATAATGGGCAAAACTCATTGACTCTCCTGCATAACTGTCCCTCTGTGTATGAAAGCTTTTCATCTGCTTGCACTTAATGTTGCTCAAATCGGATGAATAAAAAAAAAAATCAAAACAGCAGATTTACTGCCTGTTCCCCAATGCACAGTATCGCAGACAGAATTACCCCAGTTATGTGCAATTCCTATCCCCCAAGATGCCTAACACAGTGACGCTGATTTCCTACAAAATATGGCATCTGTGAGCTTCGAAAAGCCCCGTTCGATACAAGAGCTCTGCCCCAATATCCAACATTTTTTTGGTTTAAATAATCCTTGACATTTTTAAAAATCTAATTCTTGCAAATAAAAATGCCAAACCGTTCTGGTTTTTGAAGCATTCAAGAATTTAACACCGTTTAGCCCTGGCAATGATGATGAGACCTTCAAGCTGTTGAATTCTGTAATGATGGCTTCACTGCCGACGGGCGGTTTTCTTGCAGCTCTTTCCAGTGGGGCAGAAACTGGGGAAGTTGCACAGGGGGTTAGCGGTGTGATAACGAGTGTAATAACTTGCAGCTGAGAGGGCCGCGTGTAGGGGTGGAACAATTCTCAGAGAGCACAGACACTAACAACAATGAATAAAAAGAAGAAGATTGGTGCATACCCTGTATGAATCAGATATTACAAAGCATTCAGGCAGCCCCTGCCCTCTTGGAGTTTCTTCATTCACCAGAAAGGTTTCGGTTGCCTGCAATGCAATATAACAGTCACTGAGACATCTGCGCCTTACACTCCTTAGTTACACCTTGCACTACAACAGTCAAGCAACTATTTTTTTA